AATAACAATAAAACTAATGAACAAAGAATAGTAAAATTTGGATTTTGAGCATTTTTTTCTTCAACTCGAAATTTCAAATTTCCAATTGTAAAGAAGAATCTTTGTTGAGTTTTTTGCTAAAACAAATAAAAAAGAAAAATAAGTTAACAAAGATGTCTCTTACAAAAATCCTATTATACATCTATTTATTAAAAAACAAATGACACAAAGAAAAGACTTTCAAATTGCTAAAGCTTCTGATGTGTGTTGCTGCCACTACCAAGTCTTTTTTTTGGCTAAGATAAGAACGTTTGTTTAGGTTTTTTTTTGTTTGTTTGTTAAGAACTCTTTGTTTCCATATGTTTAGTTTCATTAATTTTTGTTTTTTGAAATATTATATTATATAATTTATATTTAGTTTCCTAGAGAATCTCAAAGAGGTTTGGTGCTGCCATGATTAATGATTACGGGTACTTTCTTCTAGGACATTGACAGTTTGGGGGGTTTTTTTTTTTGTCAATGTAATAAATACATAGGCTAAAAAAATCATATTTTTGTGCCCCCCACAGTTTTGGGCCCCGGGCTGTGGCCTTGGTGGCCCTGGGCCAGGGCCGGCTCTGGTTACAATCCTTCGAAACCTTTTTGTAACAACAGTTGTGGTATCATTATATGTCAAAAAGAATGATAGGAAATTAAAATCCGACGATGGGTTCGAGCAATTATAGATTTTTGATGATGTGATATTCAAGAGTAGACGAGGAGTATGATACAATTAATGAGCATAATAGATTTACATAATCTTGCACTGTCGCGTTATAAATCAATCCTGGATCAAGTGCTCGATTTGGATTTATGTCACCTGCTCCCATGTCATAAGGTGAAGCATATTTATAATAGTTCCCATGGGCTTGAATTCGTGATAGAGTATTGTCCAAAACATTAGAGCAAGTCCACACCTGCTTCAAAACCGGGCAAAAGGCCCCCCAGGCCAGCCAAGCAAGCCTCCAGCGTGAGAGAAGGAGCCCAGGCAAGCCGTGGGTCCCACCAACCCTGGCAAGCCCACGGGCAAATCCTGCCTGGTCTGAAGCCCAAAGGTGCTGACGTCACAATTGACGTCAGAGCTAACAGAACCCAACGGAAAAATGCCACGTGGCTCTTCCTGGACGCTGCGATGGCTTTTTTCCAAAAATCTGACGGCCCCAAAAAAATTCGAAATTTTTTATAAAAAAAATACCAAAAAATACTAGATTTTTTCCCTATAAATACCTATCAATTTTATTCACTTTCCACACCAAATCTTCATACAAACTCTTCTCCTTCCAATATTTTTTCCATTTCACTCATATTTTTCTACTAATTTCCATTTGTATCAAAAAACAAATGGCCTCTTCTATCGAAGCCAGAGGCGCTTGGACTACTGTGGAAGATATTGTGTTGTGTGAGTCTTGGGTGAAAGTTAGTCATTGCCCTATATCATGCAATGAGATTAAGTTTTCTCATATGTGGAGAAAAATTCATGAAGAATTTGCTGATAGAAACGGTTTGACTTAGACGGAAATGGCCTTGCAATCGAGGTGGAAAATTTTGAATAAAGAGTTGGGGAAATGGAGGGATGCCTTGGCAAAAGCCGGGGACAACATTCGAAGCGGTCAAAATCTTACCGATGAGGTAAAATATTTATAATTCTCGTTTTATTCAATTTAACGAAACTTTTTTTTTCTTGCATTTCTAATTTATTTATATTTTGTTGCATAATAATTTTTTTGTATGCATTTGTAAATTGTTTATATTGTCTTACATATTTATTTTTTGTTGCATAATCATTTTATTTCTTGCATTTCTAAATTGTTTATATTTTGTTGCATAATCAATTTTTTTCTTGCAATTCCAAATTATTTATATTTTCTTCCATAATCATTTTTTGGTTGCATTTCCAATTATTTATTTTGCATAGATCATAAAAGCACAAATGTGGTTTGGTGCCACGGGGCAAGGCAAAAAAAGTTTCCAGAGTCACCAATGTTGGGAAATTGTGAAGAATTGTTTGAGATTCAAAATCATTTCAACTGCTTCGACGGTTGTGTTGAATGAGACGCCGCTCCACGATTAGCCGGCAACCAATTTGCTAATGGATCAAGACTCACCACTCCCACGTGTGCCGAGACCTATTAGGAGAAAGGCGGCAAAGGCAAAGAAAGGGAGCACTTCGAACAATGAATGTGCACAATTTTTGGAGCAAATTGCTAAGAATAGTGCACTGAGACTTGAGAGAGAGTTGAAAAGAGAAGAAGTGGACAAGGCACGACAGGAAGCATTTTCAATTCAAAGGGCGAAGGCACAAGAACAAGACATGGAGGATAGAGAGATGAAAATCATGGCCATGGATACCACCCATATGGAATTTATTCCGAAAATTAACTACGAAACTTTGAATGCGGTTTTGGAAGGCCAAACGACCTCAGAATGCCAAAATCCATCATACATCACGGCAGAGCCGTGAGTTTGACTCGTGGCGTCGTTCCCTTTTTCTAGCTCAACCGCGATAAAATCTGTCATTTGTTCTACATCAGAATATGTATTAAAAATATTTGCACATGAAAACAAAGTTTAATTAAAAACAAACCTTATTTTATTGCAAACAACACACAAAACAAAGCATAATTAAAAATAAAGCATAATTT